GATACAAAATCAATGTACAGAAATCTGTTGCATTTCTATACACCAATAACAAAGCAGCAGAAAGAGAAATCAAGGAATTGATCCCATTTACAATGGCACTGAAAACCATAAGATACCTAGGAATAAACCTCACCAGAGAGGTAAAGGGTCTGTACTCTGAAAACTACAGAACTCTTGTGAAAAAAATTGAAGATGACAAAAAGAAATGGAAAAACATTCCATGCTCACGGATTGGAAGAACAAACATTGTTAAAATGTCTATACCACCCAATGCAATCTACGTATTTCAATGCAATCAAAATACCATCAACATTTTTCACTGAGTTAGAACAATCCTAAAATTTGTATGGAACCACAAAAGACCCCAAATAGCCAAAGCAATCCTGAAAAAGAGAGCAAAGCAGGAGACTTCAAGCTCTATTACAAAGCTGTGATCACCAAGACAGCATGGTATTGGCACAAAAACAGACACACAGATCAATGGGACAGAATAGAGAGCCCAGATATGGACCCTCAACTCTGTGGTCAACTAATCTTTGACAAAGCAGGAAAGAATATCCAATGGAAAAAGGACAGTCTCTTCAATAAACAGTGCTGGGAAAATTGGACAGCCACATAGGGAAGAATGAAACTGAACCACTTTTTTACACCACACACAAAAATAAGCTTAAAATGGTTGAAAGACCTCAATGTGAGACAGGAGTCCATCAAAATCCTTGAGGAGAACACAGGCAGCAACCTCTCTGACCTTGACCTTAGTAACTTCTTTAAAGACACGTCTCCAAAGGAAAGGGAAACAAAAGCAAAAATGAACTATTGGGACTTCATCAAGATAAAAAGCTTTTGCAAAGCAAAGGAAACAGTCAACAAAACCAAAAGACAACCAACAGAATGGGAGAGGCTATTCACAAATCACATATCAGGTAAAGGGCTAATATCCAAAATCTATAAAGAACTTATCAAACTCAACACCCAAAAAATACAAAGAAACCAATCAAGAAATGGGCGAAGACATGAACAGACATTTCTCCGAAGACATACAAATGGTCAACAGACACATGAAAAAATGCTCCACATCTCTTGGCATCAGGGAAATACAAATCAAAACCACAATGAGATACCAGTTCACACCAGTCAGAATGGCTAAAATTAATAGGTCAGGAAATGACAGATGTTGGCAGGGATGCAGAGAAAGGGGAACCCTCCTACACTGTTGGTGGGAATGCAAGCTGGTGCAGCCACTCTGGAAAACAGTATGGAGGTTCCTCAAGATGTTAAAAATAGAGCTACCCTATGACCCAGCAATTGCACCTACACCCCAATGTTCATGGCAGCAATGTCCACAATAGCCAAACCGTGGAAGGAGCCAAGATGTCCTTCAACAGATGAATGGATAAAGAAGATAAAGAAAATTTGCCCACAGCCCTGCACATACAGCCTTGGTGCAGGACTCTGGGCAAATTTTTTTAAATATATACAATGGAATTACTCAGCCATAAAAAGGAATGAAATCTTGCCACTTGCATCGACATGGATGGAGCTAGAGGGTATTATGCTGAGTGAAATAAGTCAGTCAGAGAAAGACAATTATCATATGGTTTCATTAATATGTGGAACTTAAGTAAGAAAACAGATGAACATATGGGGAGGGGGGAAAAGAAAAATGGAGAGAGGGAAACAAGCCATAAGTGACTTAACAACGGAGAACAAACTGAGGGTCGCTGGAGGGGAAGGGGTGGGGGGAGGGGGTAACAGGGTGATGGGCATTAAGGAGGGCACATGTTGTGATCAGCACTGGGTGTTATATGCACTAAATTCTACTCCTGAAACCAATATTACACTCTGTGTTAACTAACTAGAATTTAAATAAAAACTTGAAACAAAGAAACCAATTTGCAAACCTGAAGGTGAAAAGGGAATTATCCTTTCCACTCAATTAGAGTCAATGAGATACTCCAGAACCCAGCCCCCACCTGTGGTGCTCAGACAAGCTGAGGACGACGTCATTCCTGCAGATCCTACCATCACTGCTGTGCGTAGAAAACCTACTGCCTTATTGGCACTTGGGATGCAGCCTGGGACATTGCTAACACCTTCTTTTCTACAGACTACCAAACAGGGCTAGCGCTTCTTTAGTTACGAGTCATGCGAAGTACTCTTGCTCTACTTCCACAGAGGTTTCAAAGCAATCTGTAACATGCTGAGCGTGGGCTAAATAAACTTCAGCACAGTGTAAGCTCCTGGTAGGGCACTGATAGCAGCCCCCAGTGCAGAAACTGCTTAGATCACGTTGCATCCCTGTTTAAGGCTGGGTGGTCCTCGAGGGAAGTTAAAATCCAGAGCCCTAGGTCTTTCTCAGGAAGGACTAGACGGATGGACGGGTAGTCTTACATCCTCCAATTACAAAGAAAAAGTGCCTCACCTTCCTGCCAGTGTCTGATTAACCTCTTTGGGTACTGGAGGTAAAACATCCCATGACTTTGTACCAAATCCCCAGACAAGCGACGCAGTTTGAATGGGACCCTGGTGACAAGGAGCTTGGGAGGCACCTAAGCAGCGGTAACGCGAGCCGTGCCACTGGGGACTGCCTCCTTCAGTACTAGAGTTGTGATCACTGACTGCAGCCTCTGCCGCCCGATCTTGTGAGCCCAAGTCGGCCTCCCTACCGGCGGGTACAGCCCCTGCAGTGTGCTCCTGAGCCAGAGGGTCATCTTGCCAGTGGGAAGAGGATCAGTCTCCAACCAGGCATCCTCATCTGCTCTGGGTTCTGCTGTGGGGCAAGCATAGGTAACTTTTCTTTCTTTTCTTTTTTTAAGATTTTATTTATTTGTTTGACAGAGAGAGGGCCCAAGCACAGGGAGTGGCCGGCAGAGGGAGACGCAGGCTCCCCGCCGAGCAAGGAGCCCGATGCGGGACTCGATCCCAGCACCCTGGGATC